CTCTTTGATTTCTTTCATCAGTGTTTTATAGTTTTCTATGTATAGGTCTTTTGTTTCTTTAGGTAGATATACTCCTAAGTATTTTATTCTTTTTGTTGCAATGGTGAATGGTATTGTTTCCTTAATTTCTCTTTCTGTTTTAAGAGAATTTGAAAGATGCAACAAAAACATCTATTATGCCATCTTGAAATAGCTGCCTACTGTGTCTGAAGGGTTATTTGGACAAAGCAGGGATATTGGAGTCTAATAAATCCCTTTGGGCTGGTTAGTAGGTGACGTGTGGTTCCTTAGAGTGCTTCTGAGTAGCCTGAGAGGTCTGATGATGCCCCAAGCTCCTGAGAGCCACAGAGCTCTGAGTGAACCCAACTCTCCCCACCACCACCCTGGCTTTCCCAGTCCTGCCTGTGCCATGCCCAGGTGGACGTGTTTGCACTAAGTCATCTTCATGGCGTGATCACATGCCACCGTGTTTCTGTCATCCTTCCCAGACTTCTTCAGGTCTAAATTTCTGTTTGTTTACATAGAATCATACTCTACAGACCACATTGGAAATGTATTCCCTCTCTTACAGTTATATATCATGAACACCTCTTTGCATCATAATTCTTCCTTAGCATCAACTGAATGGTTAAATAGTACTCTTTTGTACCTTTCTTCAGTTTCCTGCCTTTAAAACAGATTTTTATGGAGGCTGTCTTTTGAAAAAATGATCTCTATTATTTTGCAAAAGTAAAATTAGGTCATTCTTGGGGAATAGGCTTTAAATAGTAAAATTGCTGTGATATCTCTGAATTACACTGAGGCTTTTGGGGAGACTATTTTGTTTCCTACAAAGCTAAGTAAGTAAAGCCCCCTGGCAAGCTCACAAGCAGGTTCTGGACTGGCCATTAGATAATTCATGAGGGCTGAGGAGGAGAAGCTGGGAGGGACCAGAAAGCCCAGCCATCCGGGCCCCTTCTCCAGGGGGGCGGGGACCTGTGGGATGTCTTGCTGTGCCTTGAATCTGAGCCACGTGTCTTCTCTCTCCCCAGCAGACCCGCCCGTGGCTGCAGCTGTGGTGTCCCATTTTAATGACTGCCCAGATTCCCACCGTCAGTTCTGCTTCCATGGAACCTGCAGGTTTTTGGTGCAGGAGGAGAAGCCCGCGTGTGTGTAAGTGTCCCTGTGGTTCTGCGGTGTTGGGGCTGCAGGCGTCCCAGCCACCACTTAACACAGTATTTACCTCCACAAGCCATGCCAGAGCTGCCTGAGCACCCTGGAGCCAAACATAATGGAGAACCAGAACAGTGGGCTGAGGGACACCGGCTTCAACCCTGCTGGTCCCAGCCCAGAGCCACTGAGGCAGGAATCCTAGGACGTGGAGCCTGGGTGTCTGCATTTTTAGCAAGCATCTCAGGTGGCTCCTGGGTTCCATAAAGTCTAAAACTTCCTGGATTCAAGTGAGGTTTTTCCTTTTTTTTTTTTTTTTAATTGAATTATAGTTGATTTGGGCTTCCCAGGTGGTTCTGCAGTAAAGAACCTGCCTGCTAACGCAGGAGACACCAGAGATGAGGGTTCCATTTCTGGGTGGGGAAGATCCCCTGAAGGAGGAAATGGCAACCCACTCTAGCATGCTCGCCTGAAAAATCCCATGGACAAAGGAGCCTGGTGGCTAGGGTCCGTGGGGTTGCAAAAGAGTCGGATATGACTGAGCGCATCTGCACAGTTGATTTACAGTGTTGTATTAGTATCAGGTGTGTAGCAAAGCAATTCAGTTATATACTTATACATATAATATATGTATTCTTCTTGAGATTGTTTTCCATTATAGGTTGTTATAAGATATTGAATATTGTTCCCTGTGCTATACAGTAGGTCCCTATTACTTACCCGTTTTATATATAGTAGTATACATCTGTTAATCCCAAACTCCCAATCTTGGATTCAAGTTTAATTCACTACTTAGAATTTTTGGAGAGCAAGACACTGGGTTGGATCCCTTTGAGTGGCCAGTAGCTCAGAGGTGAGGTCTGTGCCCTCTGGCATCTTTACCTCACAGCTAATAAAATAAGCCAGAAGGACACACAAAGGGTTGGTGTGCCTGATTGGCAACAGGACAGAACAACTTGGGAATAAAGATGGGCATAGCAGGCCCAGCATGAGGTGGCGGGGGGTGGGGTGCAGGGGGGGGTTGCTTCTTAAAGTATAGCTGAGCCCACCCACACTGACTGAATCAGAATCTCTAGGGATGGGACCCTGGAGTCACATTTGTTAAAAGCCACCAGTGATTGCAATGGTCAGCCCAACTGGGCAAGAAAGGCACATAAGTAAAGCCTTCTAGAGCAGGTGTTGGACTTAGGCTAATAGGGAAAGCAGAGAAGTTACTCAAGGCCTGGACACTCATGCACCCCTACCCTTTGCGTGCACTTCCGGCTTATTTTATTAGCTGTACTATACTGTTATGGGTCAGTGCGGCCACAGCAGGGAGGAGACAAACCTGCAGGTGAATTGGAGGCCAGAGCCTGTTGGAAGTTAGCCTTTATTCTCTAGCCAGTGGAAGCCATCAGTTTGGGAAAGGGATGTTTCAAGAAAGTTAACCTGTGCATGGTGGAATACTGTAAGCTGGCCCTGTACTCAGCCTTGGCACTGTGGGCATTTGGGGCTGGGTAACCCTTTGTTGTGTGGGCACGCCTGTGTGGCTGAAGGATGTTAGCATCCCTGGTCTCCACCCACCCAGGTGCCAGTAGCACCACTTCCCCCCAACAGTCGTGGCAATCAAAAATGTCTCCAGCCATTGCCAAATGTGCCCTGGGGTGAGGAGATATGTGGAGGAGGCAGAATTGTCCTCCATCCCCTTTAAGAACCATCCATCTCTACGAAGATGCCATTTTTATAGGTGGGAAATGGAAGTCAGCAATTTCGTATGATCCAACCTAATAGTACCAGTGTGTGTGTGCTAAGTCACTTCAGTCATGTCCGACTCTTTGTGACTCTATGGACCATAGCCTGCCAGGCTCCTCTGTCCATGGGGATTCTCCAGGCAAGAATACTGGAGTAGCATGCCATGCCCTCCATCAGGGGCTCTTCCCAACCAGGGGGGTCAAACACACGTCTCTGGCATTGGCAGGTGGGTTCTTTACCACCAGCGCCATCTGGGAAGCCACTGGTACTGGTAAATAATACTAAATGTTAATAAAAAGCCAACGTTTATTGAGCTTTGCTTCATGCCAGTCACTGTTCTAAGCACGATCCACGTGTTAACTCATGTAATCCTCATGATGACCCCAGGGTGTGGAGAGGTTGAGCCCTGATCACAGAGGGGAGCGCACATTCAGACCCGGCTGGTCCGGCTCCTAAAGCTGCTTTCTTACCCACAGTGCTGAAGGGTGTCAGGGGAGTAGCCCAGGGGCCCAGGAGAGCCTGCCGCCGTAAGCAGTGGTGGGTAGGACTCCCCTTTTCCTGAGGCGCAGCTGTGTGAATCTGTGCAGTGGCCCCTTGGGGTGCCTCTGGGCCTCACTTGGGGGGCACACTGGCTGCCTCCCTCCAGGAGAACTGGATAAGGCCCCAGGTCACATCTGCAGAGCCAAGAGCCCTCCTGCCCACCCCATACATTCAAAGCACACTGATGACAAGAGTCACGGTCATCACGACTACCACTCTTAGGAAAATACACACGGGAGCCTTGGGGACTGATGGGATTGTTTTCGTGACTTGCCTGATCACTGTGGAGAAACACTGGCCCTGAAGGAAGTGTGGCTCTTCAGCCCAGAAATCAGGAAGCCTCCAGTGCAGCAGGTGGAGGGTCTTCTCCCTTCCAGTCACCTCTCATGCCAAGACCTCAGGCTACTCCTGGCTATGCGATGAGAGGGTCTTCTTTGGAGCGAGAGGACAGTTTTGACCAAAATTGTGTCAGAAGGTTAGTGTTTCCACCAGATCAGGGGCTGTTCTAAATGTTGAGAGCTGGCAGCCTTGAGCCGGGGTCAGCAGAGACCCAGAGCAATAACCCTACCTGTGTCTGAGCCCCGTTGGCTGGTGGAAGCCTTCTGAGAGTGGGACGTGGGTGGCTCTCTTGTTCTCCTCAGTCGGGGTGCCAAGCTCTGCTTTTGGCTCACGGAGATCACTGTCCATCACATTTACGCGCCATTAATGTTGGTTGTCTGGACAACTGGCCGTCTCTCTGCCCACTCACACTGCAACTATCACTGTAAATGATAATAGTAAGCTCTGGGTAAAAACTGTAACTGTGTGCCAGCCCCAGCACCACATGCAGTGACTAATGCCGCTCTCTCATCCTTCCTCTCAAGCAGAGATTCTTGCCCTTATTGTGTAAATCAGAAAACTTAAGCTCAGAGAAGTTAGGCAACTTGCCCAGAGGCCCAGAGCCCGCATACAGTGGAGCTGGGATTCAGTCCCATCAGTTCCAGCCCCCAAACCCATGTTCTGTGCTGCTGCCCCAGAGGGCGCTCTTTCTGCCTCAGCCTCACAGAGTTCACCGCAAAAAGCTAAGTTTTTGTTTCCAGAAAAGGTATTGGCACTGTCCCTCTGCAGGCAAACCTTCCTCCAGGGGAACGTCAGGGTCGTTCCCTACGTTGTTGCCCTGAGCACAGACTCTCAAGGATTCCTTCCTGTGGGTCAAGGGCAGAGTCTATAGAGTCCACTTTTGCAGGATGGGAAAGCTGAACGTCTCTGGGGAGGCGTGGCCATGCAAGACTTTGCCTCCTGCTTACCTCAGTTTCCCCACTGGGTCCTGGCGGCCTAGGGTCGGTATTCAGTGCACAGACGTGTTTCAGGCAGCGATAGGTGAATCTGAATTATTATTTGGTGGCTTTAATTAATTGCTTGCATTTTGGAAGTCAGGTTTACAACTCCAAGCAGACAGCCAGCTTCTCTGGAGCGCAGCCTGCCCTCCCCAGTTCCCTAGTTTCCACCTCTGCCTGCTGCTCCCTGACGCTGAAGCTGCCGCTGGCCCATCATCCTATCGCCCTTCTTTTCTGCTCACAACAGCCAGCTTTGATCATTTCTGTCGCCACATGAGCCTGTCAGCTCGGTGAGGGCAGGACCATACCTTATACCTTTTTGTACTTTCATTACTTAGAAGAATGTTCTAATTCACTCATTGCCTCTAGATCAGAAATTCTGAGTCTGTGCAGAGAAAGCAAACCCTGCTGTTCCTGCTTTTAAGAACCGCCCTAGCTCTGGGGGAGCTGACACATTCATCTTCAGTAAAACTCGCAAACCTTGAGGTTAAGGGCATGTCAGTCACGGACTTACAAGGACAACCCACAGGGGCCGAAGATTATAGTCTGAAAAGAGGGAGTTCTTTCTAAAATACTGTTGGCTCTTAAGCTTTGTTTTCCATAATAACAATAGTCTTTGGGTCTCCAGAGTTAAAATGACATCTCACACTAAAATATGAAATAAAAAAAAAGTTAAAACAAATAACTAGTCAGAAATTGCCAAAGTTAATGAACATCATCCTGAAATATTTATGCTTCACATGAACCCTAGATTGTATTTTTTGGTCTCTCTTTAATAAATCCCTGCTAGGCACCAACCACTTTAGAAAACAAATAGGGGAAGAATTTCCAAAGGCAGTTAGTAAAACCAGAGAAATGCAAGGTTAGGACTCAAGCACCATTTTTTTCCCCTGAGGCAAATTCTGCAAACCGTTGGTCTGCCGCTTGCAGGAACCTTCAAACAAAGGAAAACAGTTGAAGGAAGCCACCCAGGTGACAGGTTTTCAGGGTTCCAATGTTGGCAGCCAGTGGCGATTCGCTGAAGTGTCTCACAGTCCAAAATGCCCTTTGGTGACTGAACTCCCTGACTTTCCCACAGCAAAGTGTGAAAGCACATTGCTGTCGGCCAAGGAAAATATTCCACCTGGCTCTGGCACAGTGCCTTCCACTGGGAGCTGAACAGTCAAACACCCAGAGAGGGGTGACCGCCTTCAGTAAGCCCGCAGACTGCCCGTGTAACCGAGAACATGCCTCCCGAGAGACCAGGATTGGGGGTGGTTTTCCTGCTGGTGCTTAAGCCACTTCATGTAGATCTATCACCTCAACAACCAGCAGGTGGTGGGGTTAGGGGGAGAAGTTAGGACATCACCCAACCACAGATCTTGAGGAAGTGCACGCCTTCTCTCTGCCCTCACCGGAAGCAGATACTGAGGGTCA